ACACTTTCAGTCTTTGTTCTCCCCTTAAAATAAAGGGCAACAATAATTCCTACTCAACTCAATGGGAATTATTCATATCCTGCCATAGAATGTAGCATAAAGAGCTGTGATTTACAACAAGGAGCACTTTAGAAGCTGGAACACAGAGGAAACGGTGAGGGTGTGAAATTGTCAGAGGCTCCATTTAGCACTATTATGCTCGCCTGTCCTCCTCTATTGCTGTACTGGGATGAGAACCTCCTCCTCTCCTCTTGAAATTATGGAATTGTAGAGTTAGAAAGGAGACAAAGGTCATCCCATCCATCCCCTTGCCAATGCAGCAGTACCACTCTTACCCAAATGCACAATCATAAAGCACCGAACAACATTTGTAAAACAGGATTGATGTACTTAACATACAAGGATGTATGGGGAAAACATACTTTAAATGCTTTTGGTGTTGCTTTTGTTTACTGTCTTTTAGTGTGGTATTTGTTTGATCCTTTTTAGTATTTGTACACTCATTGTTATCTTTAATATTGCCTTTTAATGTTGTAAGCTTCCTTGGGTCTTTTAAGGAGAAAAGCAGAGTGAAAACTTTTTAAATAAATAAATGGGGATTTAGTGAGTCAAGTCTTATAGAAGCTCCATTTATTCAAATGTACTATAACTGGAATTTACTAGTAAGACACTAGAGAACTATTAAAATTGGCCTATTTGAACTAACGGAATTCATGGAATTGACTTATCAGATTGCCATTGATTCAAAGGTCCTACTTTAGTGCAGTTCACTACACTGAGCAATGGAATTTTGTCCAATGCCTGAAACCCTAAAAACATAATTTTAGAGTTGAAATAGAAATTTTCCCATCATGTCCCTAGAGACTGTACGAGCTTCAATTCATGACGTGTGTGTGAAAGAGATGGTACATCAAGTCCAGGTTGCTAGTGGACCAGGACGGAGGTATCTTATAGGGGGGACCATACCTCACAAATCATGTTTATGATTTATGAACATAAATCATATATATTTTTACTGAAGGGAGAAAGGTGGAACTTCAGACAAATTGCTCTCCGAAGGGAGGAGTATGAGTTCACAATGAACACACACACACACACACACAAACTTTGGCAAAATTCTGGTGGGAGTAAAACCACACGCAGAAGGACAATGATGCAGCATTTTTCCCTTCGTAGAATGACATTCACATGGCTGTTAGTGTGCCTGATTTCACAACCAGTATATGTTCAGGTGTGTGGACAAGCACTAGGAGGTGGAGGGAGATGCTTCTGCAATGGTCCTTAACAGGATAACATGACTAAATAAGATTCTGGTCTCTAAAGTGGGGCCAAAACACACCCACACACCCCTACACACACCTAGGACAACAGGAGCTGCTGCTTTCCTGGGATCTCCTTTACGAGAAACGTTTATGAGATCTCCTCTGAGGAACAGAAGAAACACTACAAAATGTGTATGTGGCACTAATATGTATCATTTCCACGGCTGCAGAGGTATAGTCACAAAAAAAAGAGAGTAACTTTCCCCAGCTCTGCTTTTGACTCAGACTTCAAGTAAGTAGCACTTAATACTTATTTCTAGTTATATGTGAATGCCCAGCAGTTAAAAAGGAAGGAGAGGGCTTGGGCTTGTGGTTACATCTGACATGCTTTTACTCCACAAGGACACTACAGGAGGCATCTTGTGGAGAAAGTGTTACTGCAAAGCCTTGTTGTGGAAGCTAAATCCCTACCACCTGCTCTCCTGGGCTTGTAGAGGCTGTTAAGCCTTGTAATCTGTCCCTGAGAACTATTTAAAGCCCCTTTGACTAGGTTGTTTTTGCACACAACATGAAGATCAAAGCTCCAAGAGGTAACAGGATCTGGTGTCACCAAGGATTGTACATTTCCTCTTTCTGTGTTGCAGATCCTGTCACCAGGTAATCTTTTGACATCCTTTCCCTTAATGGCCCAACAGGAGGGTTGGATAAAAGTGTATTTCTTAGTTTACCTGGTTGCGAAAGGGAGAAAAAAACTTACAATGTCTGAGAAGGCTCCCACAGGAAAGTTAAATGTTGTTGTTTTATTTTATTTTTTAAAAAAAAAACATAGCTGAGAGTGTTTTTACAAGGTAGAAAAGTTTTTTTCTAAAAGAGAAGTATATTTCCAGGGGCTTCGTGCACTAGGGTATGCCATGCAGCAGTATGCAAACAAGTCATGACACACCTATTATTTGGCTCGAAATAAAGGTGTTCCTGGTTCAGGGAGGGAAGTCCATAACTTCATGCCGTCTTGGATTTAATCAGAGCCAGTGATCAATTTGAGTGCTTGCCTAATCTTTTCCAAAAGTGGCCCTCTGCACGCTACATAGGACAGACAGGACAATCTCTACCCAAAATAATTAATGGACATAAATTAGACATAAGAAATCACAATACACAAATACCTTTCCCAAATCACTTCACATTATCAGAACACTCTTCACAAAATATGAAATTTGTTGTTCTGGAGAAACCAAACTACAGAATAAGAATCCAGAGGGAAATGACTGAGAGAAAATATATATACATGCCGGAAACTCATATCAATGGATTAAAAATCAGTCAAGGTTCTTCAGTCATTACCAAATGTAATAATTGTGCTGTCATTTACTGTTATATTCCTTTACAACTACCAGAGCCATCTTTTCAGAACAAGGTCTAGCATTCCCTATATTACCACACGTTATCATATTAAAGTTCTACAACACTATTTTTTTGCTTTTGTTCAATTTTCTTTCTCATGTGGGAATGTTTACAACCAGACTTCCAAGAGCTGAATACCAAACAAGGGTCATAAATCATTACGAGGTGTGAAATGCAACCAAACACCACTGTCTCTTAGAGTCTTGAATGAAGTCCCTGCATTCTGACTCATATGTCTGAAGAAGTGGACCATGTTCCCTGAAAGCTTACATTAAAATAAAGCAGTTAGTCTTTAAAGTGCCACAATCCCTCTCATTTTTTGCTTTTTTCCCCTTTCTTTTGATTGTTTCTTGTTGAAGTCTCCTCTGTAAATCCGCTTTTTACAAATCCCTGCCTGAAGTTCATTTAGAAGCTTGAGCTTGGAGAACGTTGCTACCCTTGTTAGGTAACAGACTCAGAGATTTATGGCACGATAGCAGCCCAGACATCATAGAAATCAATGGTTAAAAAGATTCGAACAGAAGCTCTGTGACACCCTAGGGAAGGTGAGGGGGGGTGTTAGTTTTCCTTTCTCACCAGTATTCCTAACTCATGAGTTCTTAATGTAAGCTAACACACTAATGCCCAATGTCCATCAATCAGGATAGTAGTGGTTTTAAAATGAAGCGAACCAGCCAAGTGCTTTTAAAAATTTAAAGAAGGTGCAGAGATTAATGCCTCTTCCAAGGTAAGTGGGAGAACTCTGTGTGTGTGTGTGTAAAGGCTTTCATTCATATACATGTACACACACACACACACACACACACACACACACAGTTCTACTGTTGTCTCAGTACTCTTGTGAATTACACTCTCAAATATAGTTTTCAAGTCACAGATAAATTCTCCTTGAACCTGAAATACTGATGGCAAGAAATAACATAAACCGAAATGATGTTGTGCAGTGTGTGTGGGGGGGGGGAGAGATAGGTGCTCACATAACTGTGATTAATGGACTACAGCTTGGTGGTGGTGGTGAAATAGCTCAGAGCCCTTTGAGAGTTAACAGAGGGAGAGCATCTCCCTCTTCTCTCAGACAGTCTACATAATGGACCCTAATGGGCTAAGCAATGTCAAAAGGAGTTTGAAAAATCACCAAGAACAATATGCCCGGCCCTTCTCTGCCTCCCACTGACTTGGTTGTTTGGAAGGGGGATGGGAGCACCAGCAGGCCTCTCCCACTAGTAGAGCTGGCAGTAACAGAGATGGGAGCCCCCCTCCAGTGCGTCTCACTGGCTCCTGCATTTGTTTTCATTTTGTCACCAGACGTTCCTGTTTAAGCTACTTGGAAGGATATCTCAATAACATCCCCGCTTTGCTCAAGGAGACAGAGACAGATGATGTGCTTCCCATTTCCATTCTTCTTTGGTTTGGTACTTTGTGTCAAAAATATCCAACTGCTGAAAATGGGAGGGGGCTTGAACGACCAATATCCTACCCTCCCCCCTTTGCCTCACTAGACGATGTCAGTATAGCCTGTGGAGCAGAGTATCTAGAGTGTCGGATTAAGACACAGAAGACCTTTGTCCAAATCCACACTTGGCCAAGAAAACTCACTGGGGGTAGAAAGAGCAAAACCATCTTTTAAATATTGTGCACACCATGGAAACCCTATGGTCGCTGTACGTCAGAATCAACTTGATGGCACATAACACTCACGTACAGTACTCATGCCAAGTGAATATCCAAAGCATTATTTTAAAAAGGATCTATGAGGAGGTTCCAAAGTCTCGTTTGGGAAATCTGAACTCTGTGAAATTGCTCATATGAAGGGGAAAATCCAACTTATTGTTGGGATGTGAGAATCTGTTAGTCTTAACTTGTTAAGTTTCAAAAGGTCCAACTGTAATGATTTTCAATGATAAGTACAGTATAGTTAATATAGATAGTGTATATATTAACTATACTTAGCATATTAATACTTAACATTATTTTATTTATATTACTATTCATCAATTCATTCACTCATTCATTCTCTCTATATTCTGGATTCATCCACAGCTTTTCATAAAGCCATATTTAAAAAGTTCTCTTCTCAAAACTCAGCCTCCGTCTGATTGTTCATATCTATCAATTGAAGGTCGTAGGAGTAAAACCCTGGAATTTGTTTGTGGTTTCTTAAGAGATGTAAAAGAGGTACCACCTACCCTTCACTTTAGAGCACTGATAACAGAATATCTCGGTAATCAGCACTCTGACTCATTATTATTGATGCATTGTAATTTTAAAAGCCCATTACTAATGTAATTGTCACTCTCTTTTTTCATCCCACTTGGTCCCCACCCTATTACTATCCAGCCCATCTGTATCAATCTGTGGCCTGATAATTAAGCTCCATGTACCTGAAGACGTTGGGGTCACGAAGAGTCGGGCACAACTAAGCAACAACAACCTGAAGAAGTGGATTGCCATTCAACTCATACTGAAATAAACCTGTTCATCGTGAAGGTGCTACAAATCTTTCGTTCTGTTTTCATTATTCCACTGATGTTCTCATTCCATTCCTGTCTGTTGCCAAATTCTCTATCCTTACCCCAAGTGGAAATGGATGCATTTTTCCCAGCATTTTTATAGAGTACACAGTGTTGTCTGCATTTATGTTAATGCACATTATTCAAATGTATACATGTTTAGTTGGGACCATTTTTAAACGTATGAATGCTTTTGTGAAGATTTTCTCTCTCTGAAATGGATTGCAAACATTACAGATATACGGATTTATGAGGCAAGATGGGTTCCATTCCATTGGCAGTCTTGGAAACTGTAAATTTAATGGATATTTTTGTATGGAACTGCAAATCCAATATATTTATATTCCAGTCATGCTAGCTTTACATTCTTCTCTTCTGGAATTTGGCCAGGCACATACATTTGGTCCAGGTCTGTAAAATCTCACTATCTGGCAACCAAGAACTCTCACAACATTGAATATATCTTACCCAAGCCAAGTGCTTCCGTACCAGTGCTAGGAAATTTATGATCAGATTTAACACTTAAAATAAAACTGCAAATAAATAGAAAAAGTATAAGACTTTGCAGCAATTACATCAGAAGAGTGCAGCAAATTCTGTTCAAATTTTATTGGGTAACTTTACTTGGAGCTGCTCCACAAGTAGGTAGCTGTCACCACAGCCTCTCCCCAGTTCAGGAGTGGTTCAGGAGCGTGGAGTCTACATAGCAGCATACAGTTCACTTCCCCTAGTGATCTGCTTTTCCCTAGAACACCAGTCCCTCCACTTTGTGGAGAGACATGGGTCTGAGTGTTATGTCCTACTGTCTCAAGCATTCCTGAGTGTGATGTGATATACTTTGTTTTAAATACAATGCTGCATAAATTTCAATAAACAAGTGAACAGACCAAAGTGAAACACACATGGACATTAGAAAACCATTCTCCAAGCAACGTGGACTTCTTCCTTAAAGAGAATAAGATTACAGTGGGGTCTTGACTTGAGAACTTAATACGTATTGGAAGGCGGTTCTCAAGTCAAAAAGTCTGTAAGCCAAGTCTCCATTGCCTTACAGTGCATTGAAAACCGATTAATCCCGTAACAGGCCGTTTTTGTTCCATTTTGTTTTTTTTCTGGTCTGTAAGTCAAATCTCAGTCTGCAAGTCAAACCTAACTTTTGCGGCCAGAGAAGTCTGTAACTCAAAAAGTCTGTAAGTCAAGCCGTCTGTAAGTCAAGGGTCCACTGTATAGAACATTCAACAGCAGTGACTCCCAACTTTTTTTGAGTCATGACTTCCTTTTTTAATAGCCAGGTAACCTGCGACTGCACACCGCCAAAGGCATTTTTAATGGGGTAAAGTCATCCCTTCTCAGAAAATAGAGGCTTCTTTCTCCCCCATACATTCACATATACAATAACTTTAATATCCTGCTCCAAAAGGTTGAGGAAGACCCACATCTCTTCACATAGCGGAGGAACAGGTGTTCTAGGAAAAAGCAGCTCATACGTGTTGTAGCCCTTGTTAATTATTTAGCATTGTTAATTATTTAACCAGGGCTACAACACATATACAACACATCCCAACCCCTGTGAAAACACTTTGTGATCCCCTTGGGGTCTATAGGAAGTCAGACTCTTTTCCCGTCCATTGTGACTAGTAAGAAATCTCCAGGATTGCAAGATGTCTGTGGCACTTCCTAACCTCTGTACCATTTTTAATTGGCTACATCCCGGATGAACATCGAATAACATGCAGGCAAAAGTTATACCACTAGGCTATAGTTTCTCCATATTCAATGTCAAGTGAGAACCTAAGCACAGCAATTACCCTTGAGTGTCTTCAGGTAGGCTCAGTTGGGCAAAGAGTGCAGAGAAAGCTAGAGGGAATGATAGAAAGAGGCAGATGGGACCAGCTCCACTCGAGCTGCGTGCTACTCTCAGCACTTATTATTCGTACCAAGTCTAATTTATAAACTCTGCCCATGTTTATAAACTTGGCTGTCCTAATGGAAATGAAAGCATTAATACAGCCAGAGGATTCTTCCCTTTCCAGGTTTTAATTAAAATCATAGGCGTTAAGGAGTGAAAGTGTCTTCATGGAATACAAGTCTAATGAACTATTTCCTCGCACAGCACAAATCTCTATGTGCATCCCCAGATCGCTGGCACTGGGTGCCTGAATAACCGACCCCCTGGTTACCGGGAGATCAAAGCTTGGAAATTAGAAAAACAAATTATCCCGCAATTTGATGCAAGTGCAGTTGCCAAGATGGGGCTGAAAAAAAAGTAATATTGAATGAGAAGGGGAAAGGAGGGGCATAACAGAGCCATGAAACATGATATCTTAATTGACTAAGGAGAGACAACGGTGACTGCATCACATGCCAATTGTAGGGAACTGAAAAAGAGATGACAGGATGGAAAGATGAAGGTACAATGAAAAGCAGTGGCATTCATCAACAGGAAAGAATGGGGAACAGCTGTCCTCGGGCAGGTCTATTGGTCCAGCTCATTTAATCTTGAGTACATCGAGTGGTAGCTAGCTTTCCAGGTTTTTAGACAGAAGTATTACCTAGTCCTTGCTGGAAGTATTAAGGGCTGTACATGGGATCGTCCTTGTGCAAATCAGGGCGGAGGGTTTATCATTGAGCTCCATCTGTCCCAACAGGGAGAATATGATAGATATGGAGGATGCTGAGAAGCAAGTTCTATACTAAACCCAGGTTGCAAAATTGGGGCCCAGTTAATGCTTTTCATAGTTTCCTTTTCAAAACCTTGAATTGTTTCAGGCTCATGTGGGCATGCATTTAACTTTGGTATGCTTAACCACTTTGCAGCTGTTCTACAAGATAACCGATGCATGAACGTTGATCTGCAATAACTAATAAATGAACCTATGTAAAAAGCTCAAGTTGCTAACAAACATTTTTTGTTTGTTATTGTTTAGTCGTTCAGTCGTGTCCGACTCTTCGTGACCCCATGGACCAGAGCACGCCAGGCCCTCCTGTCTTCCACTGCCTCCCGGAGTTGGGCCAGATTCATGTTGGGAGCTTTGATGATACTGTCCAACCATCTCATCCTCTGTCTTCCCCTACTCCTCCTGCTTTCACACTTTCCCAACATCAATACATGTAGTCTAGTTCATTTCTGGTTAAGGAGAATACAGCTATTACCACTGTTTACTACCCACTTCAAGATGTTATCTACACTAGTCCTTTTTACTGGCATCAATGGTAGATCCTGAGCTGTTTTTAGTTCAATGTAATTTTGCTGCCACCAAGCTGGGATGTGTTCACATACCATACGATACATAACATATAGCCCGCTGACCAGTAATCATTGATAATTTCTCTACCCTCTTTATTCTCCCATCAAATTCTCCCACTCTATTGCTTTATGATTTCTTCTTCCCTAGAGTTATTTCTTGTGTACCTACCAACATTTCAAACATCAGTCTCATTGTTTCTCTCAGCAGGGAAGACTGGAAATTATTAATTAATATGAATATTACAATTATTAATTTCCAATAGCTATGAGCTCTGCTCCCTAATCCTGTCCCCGGCCAGATAAAGGCACATAGATTAGGGCCCAGCCATTCATGTCCCCTTTTGGATATACAATGGGACCCCCATATCAACGGGGAAACAATTCCAAACCTCCCATGTGGATGATGAAAAATGAATAACACTATTTTAATAACAAATACTATGCATAGCATGGTCTATGTCTCCCTCTAATGGCCATTTCTGGTAATGTCACCATGTATTGGGATTTTTCTTTTAATATTTTTAATATTTTTAGATGGTGGGCAAGTGAATCAGCAGATGCTGTTCCAGCAGATAAGACAGTCCTACCCTACTGTTACCAGACTCTTCCCCATGTCCATGGCAGTATTTGTATGTTTTTGGGTGTCTGTTAAAAAGCACATTTCCATGAACAGGAAGGGAAAACAGCTATGGCCTGTGGGAAAGGTGTTACACGATGCTGTCAGATATATTTCTCACATAATTAGTTGTCCACCTCCAACAAGAAAAAAAGGAGCAGGACACAGCTATGATTAACACTGGCAGTTGCATCACTGAAATAGCCAAAGAGAAGAAAAGAGGGAGAGGAAAAAAGAAAAGAAAGAAACGGGTGTCAGAGGAAGTGAAGATCTGTCCTGACCACAAGAATGTAGACATTCATCTGCGCATGTACATTGCCATATGCTAAAGTTAGTTACTAAGTTTTAAAAAAGAAGACCAAAAAATAGCTAAGCCTTCCCTCAGTATGCTACACTGAGGGAAATTCCTCATTTTGTACCGCAGCGAAAAACAAAATGTAGACTGTGACTGCTCCAGCCTGGCAACCTTTCAGAAGGACCCTCCCTCGTGCCTCAAGGTCAGTGTCCAGGAGGGCTTTATAACTGTCAGTCCTCCTCTCTTTTGGCACAAGTTCAGTCTCCTGCTGCCTCTGTAAATTTCAGTTTATCATTCCACAAGGAACACTGCTTTTTTAAAAAAAATTCCATTTTTAACCTCAAGAATCCCAGGCTGAACATGAAGTATCCCTGTGGGCTGTCACTTTGTCCCGGGGATGACCAAGGGCTATCTCCTCCTCACTATATGAAATACCAGACTGTACAAATAACTTTGATTTGGTCTGCACTGACACATTTGCCCAAAGACACTGTACATCCCTGATTTCCTATGTTTCAAAATATTTTCGTTCCTGTTCCCACTAGTTATCTGGAGCATTACAGAAGATGCACTGCAGTTAGGGATGGTAACGATTGAGTTTCTTTTTAATTAGAATTTGCAAAAATGGAGAGATTTGTCCATCCAAGCACAGGGCTTTGATAGCTCAATGCTCAGCAATCTGCTTTGAGTTTCTGTGGACTGAGCCATAGGTAAGTGCCTAGCTAGTTGTTTTAGTGTAGGGTCTGCCAATATCTGAGGTCGGAAGAGTAGCATATTGCAATCACTCCTCCTCATCACCTGTTCCTCAAGCTGCCTACCGTACTGCGTAGGAATACATAGAGAGGGAGGGGAGGAATAAGAAGATGACAGTGGCAGCAACAACAACAGCAAAGCAACACTGGCAGATTGTTTAGAATCTCCAATGG